GTCAGATATTCCTCTCCCCATGGTGAACTCAGAGACCTTTATAAGCAAACTCTGAGGCAGAGGAATAAAACTCGCTGGCGTGAAGGTCAAGTTCCCTGCCCTGGAAAGTCCCCCTTCTGCTCGTGCTCGTGGGATGGTCCCCAGGAAGCCACCTAACATGGCCCAGGGTGGGCTTCTGTGGCTGGACCTGGCATCGCCGCCCACTGATCCGCTGCATGAACCTGGCTGGCCTTGCCGGCCTCAGGCTCTGTCACAGGGCAAGCTCATCCCACTGAGCCCTGCGGACCTCAGAGAGGCCTGTGATGTGAGGGTGAAAAATCATAGCATGTCAAGGGGTTTGGAGAGGTGACACCTAATGCAACCATTTCGGGGCTCTGGGGGGCCCACCCCCATTCTTCCTCCAAACCACTCTTACCCATTAAGGTTTCAAGCAGGTAAAGGATGAGGAACTTTGAGCCAACCCCTGGATAGCAGGAGTCCTTTTGCAGTTCAGTTAGGATGGTGCCACCAGGGCCATCCAAATGACCGAAGGGTTCCTGTTCAAGCTATAGGAGACAGGGCTTATTAATGATGGTGATAATAACATCAGTGATTTCGCCTGTAAATTCTGCATCTACAAGTGATTAACCAAGGAGTGGGGGTAATGGCTCCATGCACCCTCAGGGAACATGGAGCACCCCCAGTCTGTGAGGGCTGCCTTCCTGGCACTGGTCATTGGGCACAGGACATATCCCCAACCTCAGACATCCTTCTCATCCCACTAAGATTACCCCCATTTTCCTTTCCCCACACACCTTGGCAGTCGTACCTCTGAAACATCCCCATTTACAAGACGGATCCGGCTTAGGGAGCGGCCGGGCCCCTCACCTTGTCCATGAGGTCCTGAAGAGCCTCGCGGTCCCCAAGCATGGCCAGGAGGTTGGAGAACACAACGTTCTGCATGTCCTTTGAGAGCTTGGCTGCTTTTACCTTCTGGGAAGCCTCCTCTTGTAGCAGTTTGAAATCTGCCCCTGGGCATTAATGCCAACCAGAAACAGAGACAATTCTCAGATTAGACCATTCCTTTCCCATCGACACGAGCAAAATTCCTCTTCCCTTCAAGCTGCTGACCCAGAGCATCTCTGAAGATGGCATGCTTGGGCTCTGGGATGAATTGCCACAATTGGCCAGAAAGATGGAGAGACTCCACTGAAATGAGGTCGGGGGGTACACGCAGGGACAAGAGAAGAGGATCATGGGAAGGGTCACAGGGAAGAGGAAGAAACTGAACAGGTGCTGATTTCTGAGACACGTCGGAAATAATGTGGGTTCTAGATGGGTCTCTAAAGATGAAAATGTCAGAGATTCCAGCATTGGACTTCAAAATGAGGGTGCCATGATCATTATATAAATTTATGGATATAAAGTGTTTGGTACTACATTCATTTATGCCTGTATTTTCAGGGTCTATAAGGAATTAATGAAGGAGTTGATGTTGGGAGCTGCCTGCTTCTGCCAGGACACCTGAGGTGGCCTCAAGGTGACCTTTTGAAAATGAGAAGTCACTAGAATGAAATACCAGGGAGGCAGGCATTTCAGTTTGGTTCACTGTCCTATCCCAGTGCTCAGAAAATGCCTCTTGCCCAATGAGCCCTCAATAAATGTTTGCTGCATGCATCAACCAATGAATGAATGAATGAAAAGTAGTCATGACCAAAGTATAAATTTAGAAGTAAAGCTCAGTTTTCTGAGTCATTTAAAAACTTCCAATTTGGGTTCTGAGCTCTGCCTTTTCCTACCCAGCAGCCTCAGGTTCCCTCTTAGTGAACACCCAGCCCAAGGGCTTTCTGCACCCTTCCCAGAAAGAGAATGGCAAGTGGTCATCTCCCTTTCTCACCCCCCAAATTTGCTTGAGAGACACTTCCTAGGCTTCCATCCTCTACTGCCGCCACCTTCTTGCTTAACCTCTTTCCGCTCCATCCCAGTCCATCACTCCACATTCCTGACCCTTCCTGGCCCTTCCCATCCCACAGAAACTATGGCCAGGCCCCGAGGCCATGGTGGCAAAGGCAGGGGCACTCTGCCCTGCTCACCAGATGAGTACAATGAGGACCCTCCCCACCCCAGCAAACACTCCTATTGGGTGGATGGAGCGTCTGTGCTGCCTACAGGAGAAATTAAATTCCACATTCAAGAGTTAGTCTCTGAAGAATCTCAGTTTGTCTCTATTTTGCCCCTTCCCCCCAACCACTTCTTTTCCATTCACCCCTGCCCTTTGCCAAGGGAACCGGAGTCCAGTGGCTCATGTGAGTATGGCAAAGGCAATCACCTGGGATTTCAGTTGTGCTAAATGGGGACTGGTATAGGGATCACATCCCACGTTCCTGGCACTAAAGCCACTGGCTCATTTGCGAAGTGAAATTCCTACTCCCATTCCATTGGAAAGACCCAGTCTCCACTCCCAAACCCACACACCCATACTCCAACCCCAGTACTCAAAGAAGACATGTGGCTCTCCCTGTGGCCGGGGCCTGTGTGGGTCACAGCAGTGAGATGAGGAGGTTGTGGAGGAGCCTGGCTGGGGAAGGTTTCCCTGAGGGTCTGTCAAGGCTGAGCCCCAGCAGGGTGTTTATGGGTCCAAAGAGAGTCAAGGGCTCAACAGGGCCTGAGATCCAAGCAGAGAACCTGCCCAACTCACCTAATGAAATGGTTTGCTCATCGTAATTTGACCTGTCTTCGAAGGCTGTGTGGAAAAAAGCCAGGTCAGCAGAGTTGAGGGTATCCCTGCTGGAACGTCTCACATCCCTACACCTGCAGCCCCCACCCTTCCTCCTCTGGGCCAGATGTCCCAGCTTTTATCAGGGTCGCCTGGGGACACTTCGCATCAGAATCACCTGGAATGCTTGTGGTAACTCAGAGACCTGACCTCACTCCATACCTTCTGCACCAGGCTCTCTAAAAAGGAAGCTAGAACCTGCCTTTTCAATAGGCACCTGGGTGATGGTTTTCCACTCTAACCTCACATTGGAGATTGGCCTTTTCCATGGAAAGGAAATCTCCTCCTTCCTGCCCTTTGTCTTCCTCTCCCAGAGGCTCCTATGGCATGTGACTACTCCCTGCCATGCTCCTGGGTGATTTCACATTTCACGTAGAGAAATGTTCAATGTTCTGAAACTCTTAAAGATCAGATTTAAGTGGTCGACAAGGGCCAGGAGCCCATGAAGGAAGGAGGCCAAGGGAAAGAAGTCACATTATAGGAGACCCCATAAACCATGGTGACGCAGTATCCAGGGAGAAGAGAGTTCAAGGTGGGAATAATCAAGTTCATGGGTGTTGATGATGATGTGAGTAAATTCTGATTATCTCCAAAGTCACAGAGCAAGGGCTATGGAAAATTATTGCACTGTTCTTCATATTAGTTTACTCTATAAAGTGATAGGAGGATGGAATTAGTTCATGGAAGGGCAATGCTCACTGCACTGGGCCAGTCTTTGCGAAAGTTCCTTCTAGTCACCCTTAGGCCTGAACTGTAGAAACAGGCAAGCCCCATGGGCAGGGCCTGACTTGCAGACACTGCTGTGTGCTTAGCCTTCGAAGTCCTTCTCCATTTAGTTCATACTTGTTAACACTTATATAACACTAGAGTCCTGGTGCATGGATTTGTGCACCAGCGGGGTCCCTCTGCCTGGCCTGGGGATCATGCCTAAACTGGCTCTCTGACATCCCCTAAGGGGTCCCAAGTTGTGAGAGGGCTCATATCAGGCTGAAGGACCCCACTGGTGCACAGATCCATGCACCAGGCCTCCGACATCCCCTAAAGGTTCCAGTGTAAGAGTGGAGCAGATTCGCGGCCAACAGTGCCCCAGCAGCAACCTAACTCATGGACAATTCCACAAGGAATTGGGCTCTCTCCACCCTCCTCTCTGGGTCCAGTGTGCAGGTGAGGCAGATTCAGTGCCGACCATGCCCCAGCAGCAACCTAACCCGTGGCCAATTCTGCGAGGATTCGGGCTCCCTTCTCCTCTGGTCTCAGTGTCTATTTCATGGTGGTCGTTGTGTGTCATAGCTATCAGGCGAACAGTCGAACCTTAAGACAGTCACTTATGCTTTTATATAGATAATTTTGAAGCTTGAGTTTAACTACTGATCTCAAAAGATTGGAGAGCTCATACTCATTCCATCTACTGCCACTGACAGGAGGTCACTGACAGCAAGAACCACCCTCCACCAGATGTTCCAGTGATGTCACTATAATGAACAGTGAGTTTGAGACAGAGGAAGCGAGAGAGAGAGAAAATATTATGTGTGGTGAGGAAAACCCTAATCTGCAAGTAGACATATGAGGCAGGACTCGACCTGGGATTCAACATTTGGGCACAAAGACCTAGGACCTTGAGCTGATTGTTGCATGCATTCAAATAAATGGATGAACAAATGAATGAATGAAAAAAAGGAGAGGAAGGAAGGAAGGAAGGAAGGAAGGAAGGAAGGAAGGAAAGAAAGAAAGAAGGAAAGTAACTGGGGTTATGGAAAGGATAAATTGGAAGTAAAACTCAGAGAAAGAAAGAAAGAAAGAAAGAGGGAAGGAAAGTAACTGGGGTTATGGAAAGCATAAATTGGAAGTAAAACTCACTTTTCTACATTGCTTTGACACCTCCAATATGAGTTCTGAGGTTGTGTCTTACCTACCCAGCAGGGTTTAGGTTCCCATTAGTAAACATCTAGTCAAAAGGGTTCCTGTATTCTTTCTAGAAAAAGAATGGCCACTGTTCATCTCCCTCTCTCATCCACCAAGTTTGCTTTAGAGACACTTCCTAGCCTTAAGTCCTCTACTGCCACCTCTGTTGCTTAACCTCTTCCTGCTTCAAGCCAATCTGTCCCTCCAACTTTTGGACCTTTCCTGACATTTCCCAAATCTTCCTTACCTTTCTCAACCTACAGAAACTGTGGCCAGGCCCTGGGGCTATGGTGTAAATGGGAGAGCTAAGCTGCCCTGCTCATTAGGTGAGTACAATGAGGACCCTCCACACCCCAGCAAACATATACTCACCCATTCGAAGTGTGGGAGTTCCCATGCCACCTAGAAAAGAAATAAAATTGCCACCCAAAACTCAGTCTCTGAAAACTTACGCTTTGTCTACATTCTGCCCCCTGCTCCCCACTCCCCTCTTTTCCATCCATCCCTTCCATTTGCCCAGAAAACCGGAGCCCAGTGGCTCAGATGAGGACGGCAAAGGCCATCACGTGGGGTTTCAGGAGTAAAAAGAAGCCTCATAAAGGGATCACATCCCACTTTACAGTCTGTCCACTTAAGCACAGGGGTTGATATATGCCTGCTGTTGGAAAGAGGAATAGAAGTGGTTACTCACAACAGCTGAGTCTCTGCTCCCCAAACTCACTCTCTCTCTCTCTCTCTCTCTCTCTCTCTCTCTCTCTCCTTTGGAATCTAACTCCATTTAGTTCACACTTGTCAACACCACAAAACATAATTTTGAGTTCAGCCACTGACCCCACATAATTGAAGACCTCATACTCATTCCATCTATTACCAATGACAGGAGGTCACTGACAGCAGGACCCACCTTTCAACAGGTGTTGTAGGGAGGACTGTATAGTGAAGAGTGTGTATATTTCCATGTCGGGGTTGTGGGCTCAACCCCCAGTAGGGGGTGTGCAGGAGGCAGCCAATCAATCTCTCTCATCATTGATGTTTCTATCTTTCTCCCTCTCCCTTCCTCTCTGAAATCACTAAGGAAGGAAGGAAGGGAGGGAGGGAGGGAAAGGTAGGAAGGAAGAAACTAAAATGGGGCTAAGGAAAGTATAAATTTGGAAATAAAACTAAGTTTTCTGAGTTGCTGGAAACCTCCAATTTGGGTTCTGAGATTGGGTCTTCCCTATCCAGCAAGCTACAAGTTCCCTCTTAGGAAACACTTAGTCAAAAGTGTTCCTGTATTCTTTCTAGAAAAAGAATGCAAGTGAGTCATCTCCCTCTCTCATCCACCAAGTTTGCTTTAGAGACACTTCCTGGACTGGGGTTGACATATGCTTACTGTTGGTGAGAGGAACAGAAGTGGTCACTCACAACAGCTCAGCCTCTGCACCCCCAACTCTCACTCACTCTCTCTCTCTCTCTCTCTCTCTCCTATCCTAGTGCTCAGAAGAGACAGGCTCACCCTGAGGCCAGGGGCCTATGTGGGTCACAGCAGTGAGATGAGGAGGTGGTAGAGGAGCCTGGCTGAGAAGGTTTCCCTGAGGGTCTGTTGGGGCTGAGCTCCAGCAGGGTGTTTATGGGTCCAAAGAAAGTCAAGGGCTCAGCACAGCCTAAGGTCCAAGCAGAAAACCTGCCCAACTCACCTAAGAAAATGACTTCCTCATCAGATTTTCGCATGATTTTTAAGCCTGTTTGGAAAGAAGCCAGGTCAGCTGAGCTGAGGGTATCGCTGCTGGAGCCTCTCACCTCCCCACACCTGCAGCCCCGACATTCTTTTCTGGGCCAAGTGTGGCAGCTTTGCTCAGGCTGCCCTGGGAACCCTTTGCATCAGAATCACCTGGGATACTTGTGAAACACATGAGAGTCCCTGACCTCACTTCATACCTTCTTCATTAGACTCTCTAAAAAGGAAGCTAGAACCTACCTTTTCAAATAGGCACCTGGGTGATGGTTTTCCACTCTAGTCTCTCATTGAAGATTGGTCTTTTCCATGGAAAGAACATTGCCTCCTTCCTGCCCTTTGTCTTCCTCTCCCACAGGCCCCTACCTGACGTGTCTACTCCCGCCCTTTGTCTTCCTCTCCCACAGGCCCCTACCTCACGTGTCTACTCCCTGCTGCTGGGTGATTTCACATTTAACGTAGAGAAATGTTCAACATTCTGAAACCCTTAAAGATCAGATTTAAGGGTTTGACAAAGGCCAGGAGCCCATGAAGGAAGGAGACAGAAGAAAAGCAGTCCCAAGGAAACCCAAGAGCATGGTGACACAGTAGCCAGGGAGAAGAGTTCAAGGTGGGAATAATCAAGTGTGTGGGTGTTGGTGAGTAACACGTAGAGAAATGTTCAACATTCTGAAACCCTTAAAGATCAGATTTAAGGGTTTGACAAAGGCCAGGAGCCCATGAAGGAAGGAGACAGAAGAAAACAGTCCCATTATAGGAAACCCAAGAGCATGGTGACACAGTAGCCAGGGAGAAGAGTTCAAGGTGGGAATAATCAAGTGTGTGGGTGTTGGTGACGGCAGGTGGGAATAATCAAGTGTGTGGGTGTTGGTGAGTAAATTCTGATTACCTCCAAAGATTGACATATGTTTACTGTTGGTGAGAGGAACAGAAGTGGTCACTTCTGTGAGTAAATTCTGATTACCTCCAAAGTCACAGAGCAAGGGCTATGGAAAATTATTGAACTTTGAACTGTTCTTCATATTAATTTACTCTATAAAGTGATAGGAGGACGGAATTAGTTCATGGAAGGGCAATGCTCACTGCACTGGGCCATTCTTTGTGAAGGTTTCTTCTAGTTACCCTTAGGCCTGAACTGTAGAAACAGGCAAGCCCCATGGGCAGGGCCTGACTTGCAGACACTGCTGTGTGCTTAGCCTTTGAAGTCAATCTCCACTTAGTTCACACTTGTCAACACTTATAAAACATAATTTTGAAGTTTGGGTGTAACTGACCCCACATGATTGGAGAGCTCATACTCATTCCAGCTATTGCCACTGACAGGAGGTCACTGACAGCAGGACCTGACCTTCACCAGATGTTGCAGTGAGAACAGTGAGTGTGTATGTGTGTGTGTGTGTGTGTGTGTGTGTGTGTGTGTGTGTGTGTGTGTGTGTGTGAGAGAGAGAGAGAGAGAGAGAGAGAGAGAGAGAGAGAGAGAGAGGGAATGTTATGTGTGGTGAGGGAATCCCCAATGTCCAAATAGACACATGAGGCTGGCTTCTACCTGCAACTCAGCATTTGGCCATAAAAGCACAAGGGTCCTGAGCTGGTTGTTGCATGCATCCAAAAATAAATGAGGAAATACATTAAGAGAGAGAGAGAGAGAGAGAGAGAGAGAGAGAGAGAGAGAGGAAGGAAGGAAGGAAGGAAGGAAGGAAGGAAGGAAGGAAGGAAGGAAGGGCTAAGAAAGTATAAATTTGGGAGTAAAACTCGGTTTTCTGATTTGCTTGGAAACCTCCAATTTGGGTTCTGAGATTCAGTCTTCCCTACCTAGCAGGCCTCTGGTTCCCTCTAAGTAAACACCTAGTCAAAAGTGTTCCTGGCCCTAGCCAGTTTGGCTCAGTGGATGGAGCATCGGCCTGCGGACTGAAGGGTCCCGGGTTCGATTCCGGTCAAGGGCATGTGCCTTGGTTGCGGGCACATCCCCAGTGGGGGTGTGCAGGAGGCAGCTGATCGATGTTTCTCTCTCATCGATGTTTCTAACTCTCTATATCTCTCCCTTCCTCTCTGTAAAAAATTAATAAAATATATTTTTAAAGGAAAAAGAAAAAAAGTGTTCCTGAATTTTTTCTAGAAAAAGAATGACAAGTGGTCATCTTCCTTTCTGATCCCCTAAATTTGCTTTACAGACACTTCCAAGGGTTCTGTCCTCTACTGCCACCCTCCTCTTGCTTAGCCTCTTCCTGCTTCATGCCAGTCCATCCCTCCAACTTTATGACTTGTCCTGATCCTTCCTGACCCTCCTTTACCCTCCCTAACGTACAGAAACTATGACCAGGCCCGGGACCATGGTAGCAAGACAGGGTTAATATGCCCTGCTCATCAGATGAGTAAAATGAGGACCCTCCCCTCCCCAGCAAACACATACTCACCCATTGGAGGGGCGACAGGGTCCATGCCGCCCAGAAGAGAAATCAAATTACTATACAAAATTAATCTCTGAAGACTTACAATTTATCTACATTCTGCCCCCTTCTCCCCGATCCCCTCTTTTCCATCCACCCTGCCCTTTGTCTAGGGAACCAGAGCCCAGTGGCTCACATGAGGATGGCAAAGGCAACCACATGGGGTTTCAGGAGTAAAAAGGGGCCTTGTGGAGGGATCACATCCCACTATCTACTATCTGTCCACTTAGGGACTGGGGTTGACATATGCTTACTGTTGGTGAGAGGAACAGAAGTGGTCACTCACAACAGCTCAGCCTCTGCACCCCCAACTCACTCTCTCTATCTCTCTCTCTCTCTCTCTCTCTCTCTCCTCTACCCTAGTACTCAGAGGAGAAAGGCTCACCCTGAGGCCAGGGGCCTGTGTGGGTCACAGCAGTGAGATGAGGAAGTGGTGGAGGAGCCTGGCTGGGGAAGGTTTCCCTGAGGGTCTATAGGGGCTGAGCTCCAGCAGGTGTTTATGAGTCCAAAGAAAGTCAAGGACTCAGCAGGGCCTAAGGTCCAAGCAGAGAACCCGACCAACTCACCTGCTGGAAAGGTTTCCTGATCATCATCATCTGCGATGTGGTGAATGCCTGGGTGGGAAGAAGCCAAGTCAGCAGAGTCGTGGGTATCCCTGCTGGAACCTCTCACATCCCTGCACCTGCAGCCCCACCCTTCCTCCTCTGGGCCAGATGTCCCAGCTTTTATCAGGGTTGCCTGGGGGCACTTCGCATCAGAATCACCTGGAATGCTTGTGGTAACTCAGAGACCTGACCTCACTCCATACCTTGCATCAGACTCTCTAAAAAGGAAGCTAGAACCTGCCTTTTCAATAGGCACCTGGGTGATGGTTATCCACTCCCACCACTGCCGCTGTGCTCACAGCCATTAGCCCAACTTATGGCTGAGTGGAACTCTCCCTGTGGGAGTGCACTGACCACTAGAAGGCAGCTCCTGCATTAAGCGTCTGCCCCCTGGTGGTCAGTGCGCATCACAGCAACCGGTCATTCCTGGTCGTTCTGCCATTAGGTCAATTTGCATATTACCCTTTTATTATATAAGATTTTTGAAGTTTGAGTTCAGCCACTGACTCTGTAAGAATGGAGAGCTGACTGGTCAGTCTGTGCCTCTAGCCAGCACTCTAGGCCATGAGACCGGCTACTCAAGCTTTTCCGATATGGGGACGGGGACAGAGGGCCGGCTCTCCACACCACGGCTCAGTATCTGCATCTTTCAAGATGGTGGTGGCGAACTCAGAGGGCAGCAGGGCTGCCACCGCCTACTTTTGCACAGCCAGACCCTTGCCCTCACTGGTCACAGCCCTCGTGCTGGAATATTTCACGTGGGTTGTCTTTTGGCCTCAGAGTATTCCTTATCATAGTCTTGGTCTCCTGGGCCCGTTCACTCAGTACTTGGTGGACCATCATCACATCCTTCTGCACAATGGGTATTGGATTGCCTGGCTGATTCACGTGGGAGAGCCCTTGTATGTCATGGTTTTGTGCACGTCTAAAGGCATCATGAATGTTCGGGCTCAACTACTGTGGTTCTTACAGACTTTCCTCTTTGGGATAGCCTCACTGTCCATCTTGGTTGCTTACAGACCAAAATGCCAAATACAAACTTAAAGAAGATATCCAAACCTTTCTCTACACTGACATCAACCTCACTTTTATCTGGAAATGGTGTGTTTACTCCAACTTTCTGTTTTCTGGAAAGTTACCACCCTCTAGTTATTCGTTATTTCATATTCTCTGGTTGGGTTTGAGTAGATAATAGGAAAAGGTTTTATCTTTCCAATTCTGCAGACTAATAACCTACTTGGTAGAGTACTTCTAGCTATCAACTGGAAGGCCTTGGCTGTGTTGGTACTCTCTCCCTGCCATCTTATTTAAGCCACATACTAAATTTGCTTGTTGGTATACCTGTGCTCCCATCTTTTGACTAAAACACCTTACCCATATCACCTCCATCTTAGCTGATTAGGGGTTGCTTTTTGGTAAGGTAAAATTTTTTAGAGTTAATCGATGGTAAGATTTTTTCAAAAGCATGGTCCTCTCAAAGGGAAATAATGACAGTAGTATTAATAGTGCCAGTACAATATGGTGCATTATTGAATTAAATGGATTAACGAATAAAATGCTTTGAATTGTCTCTCCAAAAATAAAAAAAAGAATGGAGAGCTCATACTCATTCCATCTATTGCCACTGACAGGAGGTAACAGCAGGACCCACCCCTCACCAGATGTTGCAGTGAGGATGCTGTAGATAGCTGTGTGTAAAAGAGAGAGAGGGAGGGAGGGAGAGGAGGGAGGGGGAAAGAGAGGGAGGGGGAGGGAGAGAGAGAGAGAGAGAGAGAGGTGGGAAGTTCTCTGTATGGTGAATTCAGCCCCTGATCTCTGAGGAGCTATTCCCCTACCTTTATCAGGCTGACCTATTGCTGGGACTCCACATTTGGGCGGGGAGAGGCCAAGGATCCTGAGCTGGTTTGTTCATAGCACCATTGGACCCTGGTTTATAGTTGTATTTGATGCAAATGGTTCTCCCATGTGAATTCAGAACCCAGTTGGGTGTTGTGCATTTTGAGGCAGGTGAGGGAGGCAGAGATGTAGATACAATTCTGCATCACAGGGCACTTTATTTGCAGTTTTGTTCCTGGTTGTGCCAGGGCACTTTATTTGCAGTTTTGTTCCTGGTTGTGCCAATATGTTATGGGCTTTACCATGGAGGGTATGGGTAACCTTGGAGGTCTCTGTGCCCACCTCCCACAGGTGAGCTGCTGAGAGTGGAGGGACCTTGAATAGAGACATGTGGGAGTAGGATCATGCTTTACCCAGTGCTAAGCACACCCCTCTGACTCTCTCCATGTAGGATACTGTCCCTGCCTCCCAGAGCAACATTTCAGTGGGATCTTGCTTAGAGGAGACTGTGAATGGTGGTGATGTGTGGGCTCTGGACAGATGGCAAATGCTGCTTCTCTCAGAACAGGTACAGAAGCCAAGGTTGCCTGATGATGGTCTCCTCTTCTTATTTCTCTTCCCAGGAGAAGCAAGTCTTTGATCCCAATGCCTCCTTCAGTCTCTGCTTACCCCAGTCTTTCTCGTTGAAAACCAGCTGCTTCCTCTTATAGGCCATCACCGAGCCCTTCGGCACAGTCAGCTTCTTCTCTCTCACTTTGAGACCCCCTCCCTGTCCTTCACCCTGGGAACAGAAGCCAGGTGACACCATCATACATACATGTCATTTTAAAGTCAAATACATCTAGAAAGCTCATGAGAAAAGGGATCAGTAGCCTGCTGCCCTCATCCTCTCTACTCCTGGTTTCTAGTTCCTGCTCTTTTTTCCTTATTTCATCCATGTTTACCTTCACATCCCTCAATTTCATGTTGATACTGCAATGATTCGATTTTTCAGATTCAAGTATATCTAGTCACTTCCTCTTGTTGATGAGGGTTTCATTTTCCTACTCTTTATAGGAGCCGAAGCAATTGATAAAAGGGTAATACTCAATTCCAACCTCTTCTGGTCTTCCATGCAGGGCAAGGGCATCATCCAAATCTAGTTCCCTCTGCCTTCCTATGACATCCAAGAGGGGAGAGAGAGCACTGAGAACCTCTTGTGAGTTCACAGCCCAGGGCACAGGCTCACTAAAAAAAGGAAAATACTGGGACCCATCCATAGGACTATAGAGTGCTTCCCTTCTCATACATCTACCGCCATATCACTAAAGGCGGGTTTACCAGAGTTCCTTTATCACATGTATCATATCCAACTTTCAACAAAAGCAAAAATTACAAGGCATATTCAAAAGCAACAAACAACAGTTTGAAGAGACAGAGTAAACTGAGAATCAGACTCAACTGTAATACTGATGTTGACATTCTTAGACTGGGAATTTTAAACCACTGTGATTAATTTTCTAAGAGATCTAATGGAAAACATAGACAAAATGTGAGAGCAGATGGGTAATGTAAGCAGAGAGATAGAAAGTCTAAGAAAAAGTAAAAGAGAAATGCTAAAGATATAAAAATACTGCAACTGAAATAAAAAAAAAATGCTTTCTTTGGCTCATTAGTAGACTGGACACAAGTGAAAGAAAAACCTCTACACTTAAGGAAATCTCAACAGAAATCTCAAAACTGAAAAGCAAAAAGAAAAATGACTAAAAACGTGAAACATAATATCCAAGAACTGTGGGACAACTACAAAAGTTGTAACTTACATATAATGAGAATATAAGGA